CGGCCACCGCAGCCTTGACCTGCTGGGCTCCGGCGATTCTTCTGCCTCAGCCTTCCAAGTGGCTGGAATTACAGGCATGTGCTACCATGCCCGGCTGATTTTTTGATTTACTGTAGAGATGGGATCTCACTACCCAGGCAGGTCTCGAATCCGCGGGCTCAGGCAATCCACTCACTAAACACGTAGATACTGAAGCACATACAAGAAAGTACACAGCTGCAGTTTTTATAAAAACAAAAGACTGGAAACAACCTAAATGTCCATCAACAAGAAAATGGAAAAATTAACTGTGATATATTCAAGGCAGAATATTATGCATTTGAGGAAACTAATGAACTAATGCTGCTTGCCACAAATGAGGATAAATCTTAGAAATCCATAACTTAGCAAACAAAGCGATAATGCCACCACACAAATTTCATTTTAAAACATTATTAGAAAGTTGAAAGATTTTAAAAAAACGAAAGACTATCTTGTTTGAAGAATCATACATAAAGAGCAAAACTACAGAGCAAAACAAGGGTGTAAGAAACACAAAGCTACGGTATGGCCCCTCTCTGAGGGGAGGCTGTGGGAGTAGCAGGGAAACAAGGAAGGAACGGGAAGCCAAAAAGCACTGCAGTTTCAAAGCCAGATGGGGGGGTGGAGGTGGGGGTGGTTTATTTCATTGCTGAAAAACAGAATTTGTGACCATCAGCTGGTACTTGCCCTTTTTAAAAATAAAGAAATCTAACCTGGGTTCACTTCAGTGGGAAGACAGGGAGAGGCCTCCCTTTTTATTTGCACCTTTCTCTGATGTTTGAGGTTTCTTTGAATATAAATAATGAATAAATAGGAATCATATGCATAAATAAGTTATGGGCTATGCTTTAATTTTCTTCTGTATACCTTATATTTATTTTTTAAAAAAAACAATAAATGCCATTTTGCTTTTTTGTTAAAGAAATCCAACGATTTTTGTGATCACTCACTGATCTAGTAACTTGTGTCAGATGGAGGCTGTCTCGCCTGACAAATATCAGGAATGGAGACCAAGAAATGTAAGGTTAACAGGCAAGGGTACCTGCTCACAAATACACTGTGCTGCATATGCCAGTGGGAAATTCCAGCTTTATGGTGATTTTTTTTCTATTTTTGTAACGTGACAGTAATTTTACATAGAAAGCAGGCAAAATATTAAAAGATCTCAATGTCATTTGGGCCTCTAAACTGTCAAAAAAAATTTAAGTATCACTGCCACCACTAAATTTATTTGTTGAACAATAATGTATATTGTTTGTGTGTGTGTGTGTGTGTGTGTGTGTGTGTGTGTGTGTGTGTGTGTGCGTGTGTATGTGTGTGCGCGTTTGTGTTTGGTTTTTTGCTTTGTTGCCCAGACTGGAATGCAGTGGTGCAATCATAGCTCACTGCAACCTTCAACTCCTGGGTTCAAGCAAACTTCCTCCCTCAGCCTCCTGAGACACTGGGACTATAAGCACGCACCACCATAGCTGGCTAATGTTTTTATTTTTATTTTGTAGAGACAGGGTCTCACTGTGTTGTCCAGGCTGATCTTCAAATCCTGGCCAGAGATTATCCTCCTGCCTCAGCTTCCCAAAGTGCTGGGGCTACAGGCATGAACCACCACACCCAACCTATATGCATTTACTTTTAATGGCAAACTAGCATGGTTTGAAAGTAGCTTACTGTTATTCCTTCATGTTCTATCTTCACTTGTCCTTTATTCTCTTGAGTAGGCTTGGGCTCTGAAGAACTCAAATTCTGTGCATTTTCTACCTTTTGACCTAGAGATTGAAAAATAAAAAATTGATAGAAGGAAAGTTTAAGATAGTAAAACTGGAAAATGATTTCGTATATTCAATTGGGATATCCTGAGATATATAAAAGCAGGACCTATGGGCCTGGAAAACTGGTAGCCTATGGATTAAGTCCTCTGGCCCACAGATGCTCTGAAGAGAGCAGACTCAGCACTGCTCACTGTGACCAAGAGGTTCACCCAGTGCATTATGTCAGCAGAGGAAAGAGGGCCCTGTGGAAGACGTTGTTAGAGAAAAGGTACCTGGGTTGGCCAGGTGAGCCAACAGGAAGGAGATCGTAATGAGCTCAGTCATGCTTGGGAATAAAGACTACGAGAGTACAGTTTCAGTAATGGAAAAGAGAATAGTGCCACAAAGCCCACAGACATTAAACATGATCATGAGAAGATTTTATGAATAATCTGGGGCCAAAACATCTGAGAGAAAAAGCAAATTCAACAAGTTTCTGAAAAACATTATTTATCAAAATCAAAACAAGAAGAGAAAAATCCAAATAGCCTTAGTTATTCTTTACATTTTATTTTAAATTGTTTAAAATTGCAAATAAATATTGCGTTAGCTTATTGTGCATAACATGTTGTTTTGCAATATTTAAAGTTTGTGGAATGGCTAAATCAAGCTAATTAACATGCACTATCTCATATACCTATCATTTTTCATGGTGAGGACACTTAAAATCTATCTCTAAGACTAAATTTTCAAGAAAACAGTACATTGTTATAAACTATAGTCACCACATTGTACAACAGTCTCATGAACTTATTTCTCCTCTCTAACTGAAATTCTGTTAAAATATGAATGATATTTTAAAACCTTTCTACAAGAAAACTTCAGGCAACTACAGCAGTTTCTACCAAATATTTGAGGATAAAAATAATAATCTCATGCAAAATATTTCAAAGAGTATAAAATCTTTTAAATATACTTTCTCTGAAGTTAATTTTTATTGTATTTTCTTATTTCAAGAGAATTTCTAAGAGGAAGAATATTCTCTACTCATTTTATGAGACTTGCATAACCTTGACATTAAGAGATATGAGATAATTTATTGATAAACAAAATTGGTTTTAATTTAATTAACACATGATAGTGAAACGGAATGATAAGCATGTTCACTGGTTCTAAACACACTTTAAACATGCACTTTCACTGAAGAATACATCATTCACTGTTTACAGGCTAGACCATCTGTCTCCTTGCTTTCTACACCCGGTTATTGCTGAAAGTTGTTGGAGAAACCACGTGGAAGAGTAGTATTAAACGTTATTATTTTTAACCTCAGCAGAGTCTGCAAGCTGCTAATAAACTCTCACAAGTCTGATCAGCTTTCCATGCTAATTTTCAATATTAACAACTCTTCTCACAGCCCTTCCCCCACACCCCACCTCTCCTGCCTCCCTGCCTTCTGCCTAAGATGATGCTCTTCCTGACCTTGGCTTGTAAGTTCTCTGCCTCCTTCCTATTCCAGCCACCTCTTGGACATCTTTCTAGTCATCTTAGATGTCTTTCTAGTCCACACTACAAGCGCGCGCGCGTGCGCACACACACACACACACACACACACACACACACACACACACACACACACGGGGGGGGTGCCAAAAAAATATACATGTTTTATGTGTGATGTTATCTATGTATTACTTTTCAAAGTTGAACTGAATTATGGTAGCAATGTGTAGTATGACATTAAAGCGTGAAAGATGGCATTAATCAAATGAATGCCAGTGTCACTGTGTGACAGGCAGGTATGTATTGAATATTCCAATTTTAATTGTGTATACATTTTTGGCACCCTCTGTATATAATTTAGATATAAATAGCAAATAACAGAAAAATAAATAGTAAAAATATTTCATTGCCAGAAATCACATCCTTGCAAACTAAAAAGTAAAATCTCTTGAAATAAATACATTTAAAATAAACACAGAAAGCAATACTACACATGGCTTTCATTCCCTAGTCGGAGCCTGTAGTTCTGTGTGCGTAACCGAAGCCCTCACGTACCCTGAGGAGCTTCTGAGCACAGTGGCTCAGTGAGGTCGGATGAGCTGCTGCTCCGAAAGACTTGCTGCTGCTGTCCCACCGCCAGGTGGCCCAGCCCCGCTCCAGCCACACTCTCTGCCTGTGGATACTCCTCTGCTTCTGCAAGCATCAACACAAAGCACATAAGGTTGCAGTTCAAGTTTGAAAATACTTTTACCATTTAAAACAACTGCTTTAAAAAATAAAGTTCAAATAAATTTTTCACAAAAATTTTACAGTAAGCTAAGCACCATCAAGTCTCCTATACGTGCTAAAACTAACATTCCACTCCAAGAATACACTTTCCTCTTAAGCTCTACAGAACTTTTGATTTTCAATCAAAGTGAAGGGAAAAAAAGTCATGAAAATGGTTATGTGCCATAAAAGTCACTTGGAATTTCAGGGGCAGGCATGCCAAGGGAAGAGAGGCTTAGGAGAGGTACAGAATGGGTAGTTTACACCTTAAGGGACTCGAGAGTGTCTCTGTCTCTCTCTCTCTCTCTCTCTCTCACACACACACACACACGCGCGGAAGATGAAAGGAAATATACTGTATTATTTCTATTATTCATTTTTACCAGATAAATGTCCAACTGTCCAAAATAATATGATATAATTATGTGATGACTTACATCACCAAATGCAATGCTGAATTACTTACTAATGTACAAAAATGATCCCCTGGTTGTTTTAGAAAATCAATACCTTTGTAATAGGTTCTGACCACTGAAAAATCTGTAAGTATTACTACAAACTATATTCCCCTAAAGAATGAGTTCCCTCTTCATTTTTTTCTACACTGCATGGTTCATTTGAATCTCTGAAGACTGCCCAAGGCCCTGGAATAATCACCTACCCCTCTCGCTAGCCACAGTGCTGGGCTGCATCCTCTTTGCCTAGGTTACTACACAACCTCCTCTCTGCGCCCCTTCCTGCTACCTATTATTTATTCTCTACATGGCCCCTCTAGAATAAAGGTGACTGTGCCACTACTCGTTAAAGCCTTGCAAGGCCCTCCACCATCAGAAGGCCAAGTCCATGCTCCAGGGTACACAAAGGGATCACACACCTCACCGGACATACTGATCCCCCTGTGAGGAGCACTTGCTCACTGCGGCCTCTAGCAATACCAACCCATGCAGCACCTCCTGCTCACTCCCGATGCCAACCTCACACCCACCTCCCCACCCCTCCTCTCCATGCTGCCCTGAGCATGCCCCCCATAGGACTTGCAAGGAAACCCCACTGCTGTGCCCTCACTAGACTCCACAGGCCCCGACGAAGTTGTAAGATTTCACATCCATATAACTAGAACATCATATTTTCCAAACAACTTAATCAGCTAATGTTTTGCTACCACTAAGAAGAAGCTGATCAAAATTCAGCCTGCATTACTCTACCTGACCATGTCACCCCAGTTTGTCACCTGAAACAGACACCTTCTCTACAACCCTTTAATCTAAGCCATAAGCCAAAGTGATGGCTCACCCTAACCAAGAAGTTGTACACAGGAAGATTATCAATTTAATATACAGGATTTCAACAAAGGGCTGCTGCGTGATCTTTTTCCATGCAAATGAAAATGTCACTTCATAGTGCACCAATACAGTAATGTAACTGATACAGTAATGCAACTTCAAAACTATGAAATGTATGTGATCCTTCACATATAATTCAAAGTACTGGACCATAGTCTAAACTTGGATGCTGATGGATACCTAAGTTTGGAGTACAAGCAAAGACAGGCTACACAGCAGGACAGACAGACCCAGCAAAGCCCCAAATTTCCCAAGTGTCTTTGCCTCTCTCTTCTCTTGAATAGCCAAGAACTGCCCATTCTTCTACAGGGAAACACAAGGTAGAGGCACACTTTTTTTTATCTACCTACATAACCCAGAGCAAGACTACGCCCTTTCCATAGATCTATTTCTAGTCTCTCCAGCCTTCAGCAAAAGAAGCCAGGTCACACCATTAAGCCAGCCCTTCCGGCTGTCTTTTCTCATTGTTTATTCTAATTATACAAGATGCTGAAACCTTCTGGGAAGAGTTTACATTTATTAATGAACCCACTTGTTAACCCAATATCAGTAGAGGGAGCCCAAGAGCTTCCTAAAGTTCTAAAAAATAATTGGCATATGCCAGTTTTTATTGAAACTAGGAAGAGTGGGTTTTGTTCTCTTAACCTGATGCCAAAAACGAATGGATGTTGGTTTCTGGGCCATGAGCAGAAGCAAGTAAGAGTGGAGCCAGCACTGGCAGCATCTTCCTAAAGATAAAGAGCACTGCCATCTGGTGGGATGCGAGGCAGCCACTGTACCACGGCTTCCAAGTTGGAGGGTCCCCACTGGTCCTCAGCACAGCAGACGGAGCAGAGCCTGCCACCACCAGCTGGTCGGGCTCCCAACATGCTGGCCTAATGCAGCTTTTAAGGCTTTGTTTTTATAAAACTGTCAGGAGGGACTTCTCAGATGGATAAAGTCCAGACTGTGGAAATAACCACCAGTGGCAGGGGTGGGAGCACGGTGGCTGGAGTGAGAAGGAAGCAGAGGCACAACGCCAGTGTGTTGTGTTGGAGGGGCCTTGGGCTACTCTTGCTGTTGACTGTCACGTGAGACAATGTGAAAAAAACTTTTCCATTCTCCTTATCCCATAACTTAAACACAATTTCCTGATTTGTAAGTGTATATTTCTCGGTCTTTTCTCATACTTTGTACTAAGTATATACTCAATACATGTTTTGTATAAATAGACAAATGAATGACAGTATTTTCTTGATACCTTTTCCCCATTTTAATGGTTCTTGGGCTCCCTCTGCTGGCATTTCATGTGTGAAGAACGAGCAATTGACATTAAAGCTGCCTGGTTCTGTGGTGGCAGCTGCTTTTTCCTAACAAATGAAAGTGATTTTGACACTGATATGCATATATCAAGATACAGGATTATCTCATATTTAAAAGAGAAAAATAACAATCTAAGTTATATTAAAATCACACTGTAAATCCTAGGAGATCTAATACATCCTCTGTTTTGAATGTCATACAATTTCAGTTTGAATCACTTCAAAGAGCTAAATTCTATTTCAGATTAACTAGATCATTTACTCTCCAAAGTCTAGCTCATCCCAATAGCCCAAATTTTAAAACATGAACTTTCTCATATCTTGATTGTATGAATTGCACGATAGATACCATTACTAAACCATTGCTTTCTAAAGCCCCATTCAAATCACCAGAAAAATGATCAAATAAAGCTTATTTAATTTCATTTTTCCCCACTGAGAAAAGAGTCTGCCTGATTAAATTAAATTAAGTGTATAGGCTGTTCAGTAACTTCTATTTTTTTTTTCCAGACGTCTATTTTTCAAAGCAATTTTATTCATTCTTTAAGGCTTCCTTAACCAATCTTAATAAGTGAAAAGAGGCTCATTCTTCAATAACCAAAATTCCGGGTTCTATCTGCCCCTTGAACAAGGTTGCATAAGCAAAATAAATCATGTAATTTCCTAATTTTCCAATTCATCCACTTGATCCTATAAGAAGCATGGGAGGCCAGGCACGGTGGCTCAAGCCTGTGATTCCAGCACTTTGGGAAGTCAAGGCGAGAGGACTACCTGAGATCAGGGATTTGAGACCGGCCTGGGCAACTTGGTGAGACCTTGTCTCTACAATAAATAAAAAAATAAGCCAGGGACGGTAGTGCATACCTGTGGTTGTAGTTACTTGGAAGGCTGAGGCGGAAGGTTTACCTGAGCCCCACTCCAGCTTGGGTGACAGAGTGAGACTCCAACACACACACACACACACACACACACACACACACACACACACACACACACACACAAAAGAGCATGGGAAATACATATCACTCAGCATCTTGGGGCTGCCCACAAGGCCAAGTTTCCAAAGGTAAATCAGTCCAGGGACCAAGGAGCACTTCCTGGAAGCCCATAGACCAGATGCAGAAGCAGCTACATGAGGCTTCCCATTAGGTTCCAACATGTCTTTTTAGAATAAGGGGACACCACTGATCCTTTAATTACTACTATTACAATATTCCTAAAATAAAAATAAAATCTACCATTTGTATGGCCTGTAAGTGCTTACAGACTGATAAATGTCCCAACATAAAAGGCAGTTAAAATTGAAAAACAGCTGGAAAAAACTGTTCCCACAAAGGGAAAAAGGGAAATCACCAAAAGTGCCAGCCCCACCTACTTGTTTCTTTATGTAGCTATTATATTAATGAAAATAGGTGGCTGTTTCAAAATACAAACAACCCACCCAAAATTCTGCTGCTGCCAAATAGAGCCCAAAATTATCAGAATAAGATACAACAGCGGCCAAAGTAGTAAATCAGTACTGTTTAGCTTATTAAAACAATTTTGGTAGGGTGACTAGTTACAAAGATTAGAAACAAAAACAAGAAATGTTAACTTAAATGAAAACAAAATTAGCAATCATTGATATAGTAAAGAACTTGTGGCCACAAAGTAAAATTAAAAGTGTCATATCTAGCAAGAGGTTAGCAGGATACGTCTACACTCTAGGATTTAAACTGGGGCAGAGATTCAATACCCTACTCTGCAAGCCAGTGGAGAATGTACAATCTAAGATGGGGACTGATATCCTTTGCCCTGGGTCAGTCTCTTGGTGGGACAGTCACAAAGGACAATGGCATCATTTTAAGTAGTAAAGACCAAATGGCTGAGCCAAATGGTGGCTCAGCCTGTAACCCCGCACTTCGGGAGGCTGAGGTGAGTGGACTGCCTGAGCCCACGGGTTGGAGACCCGCCTGAGCAACTTGGCAAGACCTCATCTCTACAATAAAATCAAAAAATTAGCCAGGTGTGGTAGCGCACGCCTGTAGTTCCAGCTACTTGGAAGGCTGAGGGGGAAGGATCTCCAGAGCCCAGCAGGTCGAGGCTGTGGTGGCCGAGAGCGGCCACGGCACTCCAGTCAGGGTGACAGAGTGAGACTCCAACTGAAAAAAAAAGACCAAATGGCATCAGACTAAGAAAGGGCTTGCTACCATCACTGTCAGATGGAACAGAGAATAGCAGATTATTCTCAGAGTCACTATGCCCCTAAGACCCTGCACACTTTATGCTATAAAACCAGGAACAAGGATAGCAAAGACAGGAAAACAGAAACCCAGCCTAGCCTGCTTCATCTCATGCCGTCTCAGAGTTTCCCAGTCTTAGCACTCCTGGTGTTTGGGTCCAGACAATTCCAGGTTGTGGGGACTGTCCTGGGCACTGCAGGACAGAGGCACCCTGGCTTCCACTCATCAGAAGCCAGTAGCACCAGCCCACTTGTGACAATAAAAAATGCCTCCAGACATGATGGAAATTGTCTCCAGGCGAGAACTGCTGCTCTAAATTAAATTCAACTTCTGCTAGATCTGTGTACACATATACAGGAACCCAGAGTCTTAGTAAAATAAAACTTAACACTAAATGAGAACAAGTTTCCAAAATGAGATTACTGATAGGAAGAGACTTCTTGCAAGAACATATTCTGGAAAACTAGTAAGAAAATTTAAGTGAAATCACATGAGAAAAAAAATGGACTTTGAAATCCACAGTGATGAAAAAAGTCCTTTAGAATGTCTGTCAACCAAACAGGAAGCTAAACTATTTTAAGTACTTTACTAATCATCTCTAAGTAATAACTTTTTTTCTCTTGAAAACCAATAATCAAGCAGTTACAACTCATCAGTAATTTAACTAACTAGTGACTATTTTTCCATGTACCAGTCTTATACTCTTTTCTTTTAGGATTTATTAGAGAAAAAGAGTTTTCTAAGAAACATTATAGTTCTTAGTCTCAGTAAAACTAGTTTTCCTTTCATATTCTGTAAATTAAATATGATATTTTACATACCCATTAGAGGACTTAAGCTTTAATTTTGCTTTGCTAGACCAAAATATAACATATTTACAGAAAACCACAATTAGGTAATATTCAATGTCTAAAAAATACTAATCTACAATGTCAAATTTCTGAAAATAAAAAGAACCACAAAAATACTTCTCTCTTTAGTAAAAAAAAGATTCAGATCACCAGGTGTGGTGACTTCTGCTTATACTCCTAGCACTTTGGGAGGTGGAGGCAAGAGGATTGCCTGAGTCCAAGGGTTTCAGACCAGCCTGGGCAATTTGGCAAGAAAGATTCATATCTTCTTATAATCACTGAAAAATAACTAGACCTAGACATAATTATTCACTTTGTAGAGCAAAGCCAGGGGTTTGAGACCAGCCTGGGCAACTTGGCGAGACCTCATCTCTACAATAAAATAAAAAATTAGCTGGGCATGGTGGCATTTGCCTGTAGCTCCAGCTACTTGAGAGGCTGAGGTAGACAGATCGTCTAAGCCCAGCAGGTCGAGCTGTGGTGGCCGTTAGCATGCCATTGCACTCCAGCCTGGGCAACAGAGTGAGACTCTGACTCAAAAATAAAAATAAAAATAAATGACTAGGTCAAAAATCCCCTTTGGTGCTATGACATCTTAATAAAAAATGCACTGAGTGTAAACCCCACATGGCTAAATTTAATTTTAACTGACTGAATTACAGGAACAATGTTTCTTTATTTTGGAAATTATTGCTTTTTGACTTTTTTAAAAAAACTCAAATCTCAATAGTCATTATGAATCTACATAACTCACCACTTCTTCCTATATGAAATGATTTATTAACTCCAAGGAAGCCTTGCCCACTTAATTCTTCTAGTTGGTTCATGTTTTGGAAGGCACAGCAAGCATTTTAACATTGACATGCTCAAAACATGTACAATTTCATGAAAATGTCCTTACTTTCTATGTGCACTCTATAGAAGATACACGAAGACTGGCATTACATTTCCCCCTATTAAAACTACAGGCTGGCTGGGCTTGGTGATTCAGTCTGTAATCCAAGCACTTCGGGAAGCCAAGGTGAGTGGATTGACTGAGCCCGTGGGTTAGAGACCAGCACAGGCAATTTGGCGAAACCTCGTCTCTACAATACATAAAAAATTAGCTGGGCACGGTAGTTCCGGTTACTTGGAAGGCTGAGGTGGAAGGATTGCTGGAGCCCAGCAGGTCGACACTGGGGTGACTGTGAGTGTGCCACTGCACTCCAGCCTGAGTGACAGAGTGACACTTCAACTCAAGGAAAAAAAAAAAAAGAAAACAAAAAAAAAATACAGGCTTAAAAATCCTCCCTCCTTAACTGTGAACACCAAGACCAGTGGACTTACAGAAATTTTCTTGATTATCTAATGGCTACTAAACCTCTAACTACATCAAAACAACCATTAAGGAGCTGAATACTAGGGTAATGGGCAGGCACATGTGATGTGGGCACATCAACAAAAGGAGCAAGGCCCAGAGGCAGGCAGGAGAAGCCCAGGGACACCCAGGGACAAGGAGACGGCGTTACAGTACCTGACAGCCTGAGAGAGCAAGAGGAGTAAGAGAGACCAGGTAAGAGAGCGCTCACGGTGTGGAGGAGGAGCGGGACGCTTTTAGTGGCAGGCAAAGCCTCGGGGAGGTGGACACAGTTGCTGATAGACTGGCTTCGCTTAGCTTCCAGGAGAGACAAAGTAATAAGCACGTCAGAAAAGCATCAGGACCTTTCACTTCTGTTCATTATTCTTTTTCTGGGCTCACTTTAAACATTTAAAGGAGGTCATTTTAAACTTTAAAGGAAGTCAACACAAGCATAGTATTTAACTGCAGTCTCTAAATACAGCCAACTTTCAGTTAGTCATTCTAATGACATAGGAGAATGGGCAAGGCACAAATAATCCATTTTGTTTTGAAATGCTTTAAGTGTTTAGCCTTTCCTTTTTTCTGCTGTGTTGATATCAGATTCACGTTTGGGTTGTTTATTCAGGCAGACATTATAATCGATTTTCCCTTCCTAAAGGACACATACAAAAAAGTCCATGATGAGAAAAGAACACCTGACCTAAGATAAAATTCTTCTCTAAGTAATAAGTAATTCAGAAATTGATTTGCTGAGAGCTGACTGTATTCAACAGCAAATAATTTAGTAAACTAAATATCCTCAAAACCCAAGAGCACATATAAGTCAAGTCGAACATTAAAGGATTTGATACTTAAATGAAGAAAACATAAAATATCCATGAAACCATCCTTTTACATCACATTTTATGCTTTTTAAATCCATACTTCCTTAGTGTCAACCTTATGATGATTCTAAGTTTTCTAGACACTTCTAGTCAAGGGAACATTGGAGAAAATAGATGGCACGGGAGGAAAACTTGCCTCATATATGTAAACCACAATCGATAAAATCAGTTTTATCCTAAAACACAAATATGAAGGTTAACTTGCTGCTTTAATATTTTTATGTGACTTTAGTTAATGTTAATGACATAGAACTACAAATGATGGGGACACATTTGGAAAAAGTGAAACAAACTCCTCACTGCCCTTCCCCTATCCTTTGCCTGTCAGAATTTTCACTAGAAGGATAATCTGAAGTATAATTCATGTATGTATAAGGCAACATGTAAATAAAAGCAACTTCCATATAAACATCAAGCTGGCTGACTTCAAATTTCCTAAAGGACCTGCTCATTTTGCAATATGTCAGAAATTTTTCATTTGAGGGTTTAGATCAATGACTGTGCATTCTTCCAAAATTGATCACTAGATATTTTAGAAATAATGTTTTGTGGAAATTAAGACTTGCTTGGATCATACTCTCATTTTAGACATCCGAACTCTTACCATCACTCATACTCAAGAACACTTTTCCTTTCTAATTCTTTAAGGCTCTCCTCACCAGAATTTTTGAGTCATAAACTAGTACAGTCTCTGTTAAACTAATTGTCATTTCTCTACTCCACAACTGTTTGTTTTATATTTCCTTCATGCCACCATCAGTGATAACTTCTTTACCTAAGTGAAACCTATGGGGGAAATCATTATTTAACCTCAAATTATTCTGTTAATAGGATTAGGGGGAGAAATTACTTTTAAGCGATTTTCCATAATAAATATCTTATTGCTAAAAGCAGCAAAAACAAACTTTATGAGGGTTACTCTCTCATAAAATGGTAGCCTCTACATAAACCAAACACTACCATGAAAATATTCTGGGCTTTTTTAAAAAAGAAAAGGTAAATTATTATACAACATAAAAATAATCCAACAAGTAAAACCTCTAGTATTTAATCTATATAGATGAATTTATAAAATGGCATGGTAAAATAAAATCTTCAAAGACCACTGTTTTTACAGATAACAGAAAAGATTTGTAACATTTTCTAATTTTTTAAATTGTAAAATAAAATAGGAAATATATATGTGTATCTATACACATATATATAATACATAAAGATAACAGATCTGTTCAACTCAATAGCACTCATCTTTATCTTTTAAAGGTTATGATTCCAAATGTTTTCTAAATTCAATTAATCCTCCAAAGGTCAGACATTTTGTTTTTAAATACATACTCCACAAACACCTTTATGTGATTGTTGAAAAGTACTTGCTTTTGCAATGTCATGGCTTCTCAGACACCTGAGAGTACTGACACAACTAACCTCACTGACATAACTGCACTGAGATTATTTTCTAAAACATACTGGTATCTTTACCATATTGCTATTTTAAAACATTTGCTAAAAACTAAGATGCAATCTCTTCTATGGCTATGGTTTGGCCAAGTTGTGGCATATGGAACATGCAATGTACAATAATTTTCTCCTCATTAAAATATGAGAATAAAATTTAAAAAGTATCTTGAATTACCACTTTGGTTGTAATTGTGATTCAAAGATTGTTAGGGACAGCAGGAAGTCTGGGCAGCTCAGGCAGGATGCCATCTTTGTCACAAGCTTCTGTTCTGATCCCTTTCTTTTAAGGATATAGTGATACAAGAAAAAGAGTTTTTAGGAGTTAGAAAGAAAAAGGAAATCAGTAAGTGAGTATCCTCAAACGTTGCTTGATAATCAGGAATTGGGTCCCTCCTCAGGGAGAGAATGAAGGAAAGAAGCAGAAGTAGAATAGGAGGTGAGGTAAGTAAGGTGATTACCAGCAAATGCTACACCAAAAAAGCATGAGACAGTGGGAGAGATTTTCACTGAAACCCCCACAGAACTCTAAACCATCTATATTAAGCCTTACTAAGCACTGTACAGTAAGCTTTCATGTTAAGCTTTAATGAATCTTTGTTTTATGCTCAGAGGATCTTGTGACTTTCTGTAGTCAACATGCTAAATAGAACAACTGCAATGGTAGTATTGATGAGAAAAACAATAGGAAACTGAGCTAAAGTTGTTTTAAACCTAAGTTAAGTCTCAAAGTCACTGGGGAGAAGTGGGCTTTATTTATTCTTATTAAATACTGGATTCAAGCTTCCTTTTTAAAGAGTTCTCTTTTTGTTTTAAGAGTAAAATGTAGCAAAGCAGTCTGATGAACTGGGGGTTCTTGTTAACTGAAATGGTCTGCAAACACAACATCTACAGGCATGAAAAGCTCGTTTTTCCACAGAAGATAAAAAATGAAAATGTCTCTCTCTGTCCTGAAAACTAAGTGCATCATTCTCTTTTTCTTTGCCACACTCTTAAGACAAACATTACTTAACAACAACAATAATGCAACGGTGTATTTATTAAGAATATTTTCTTTGAGCTTCAAACAAAATCTTTATATTTGCTCTATTTTGCACAAACATCTCACTTGATATTCATATCTAAGTCTTTTTTTACAAAATGGAGGATTTAGAAAGAAATATCGAAAACTGTGACTTGAAAAGTAACCAGAAAAGTTAAAAGATATAGAAACATTTTTATTTAATAAAAGGACCAATGTTTAAATTCTGAGTAGAAGTTGAAACCATGTTAGTCCTACAAATCCATTTTAGACAACAACCAGACTTCTGAGAAATACTGAAATCAATGTTTACCGGTTGCTTTCTGGCGAACAATATTCCTTGCCTTCTCGACTCCTGGAGCCCCTGAGGTGGTGGCACTCCTAAACCGCATTGGCTCAGTCACATCTGGGTGACTCCGCCAGCTGAGAGAGAAGGACCGCCCCACGGTGGTTCCTTTCTGGGAATCCAGAACACAGCCTGATAAAGAGGAAGAAAAACCATCAGAAGGCTGGATTTGTTACTACTGATCTCGTAGCCTGTGCCACCCAGTAAATGGCACATATCAGTTACACAAAATGGCAGATGCCCTTGTCGCAAATCAGGGACCACTTCCTAATGCTGCAATGCAATAAGTTACTCAGATGTCACTAATCTAAAGGTCCTGTTGCCAAAGTGTATTCAAGAATCTGCAATAGCCTCATAAAAATTGGCATATATTCAGTACCCACCCCAACAGACAAAAGAGAATATTAATAAACCTTTCTCAATACAAGAACAATGTCAAATGGAGTTAGGCTACTGTTCCCAGGACATTCCAAAAGCCACTACTGATAAACCAAAAACTCAGAGATCTTGATGTTAGAAGAATACTGTGTCCTACTATGTCCTCTACAAACCAACCCCCCGACAAACTCCCAGAGAAATCAGTGCTAGTGAACTCCAGTGCAGTTAGCGCTATGAACAATACCAAATCCATCTTAGGAAAGATCCAAGATGATAAAGCACTGCAGTCTGAGGTTCGGCTAATCTTCTCTGCTCTGCTATTGCTCTGGTCTATTACCTCAGTGACAGGTCAGGGATCCAAAAGAGACAGAGGAGAGAGAGTGAAAGATGGAGAGATCTCTGCACAGGCATGACGTGGCTGGGGCTACCAACTGTGGCTCATTTTCAAGCCTGGGTTCCTCTGCCTGTGTTTTTTGTTTCTACTACTCCAGGGCTCAAAGGCAAGTGTTTCTGTAATGAATATTTAAATCCTAAAATAAATATTATAAATCAGAAATATTTGTCATGGGCATTAATTAAATCATTTGTTCTGCACCATTCTGAAAATAATGCTTTTGAAGGTGCCTGTCTTCCTGAGACAAGTCTCTCTTCATATGAATCTGTTTGCACAGTGGAAGGGAGAGAATTTTGCAGAACGGGGTGTGTGTCTGTGTGTGTGTGTGTGTACATGCACACATGTGTGTGGATGAAAACAGATTTCAGGAAGAAAAGCATATATTAAGTTTGAGAAAGTAATTCCTTATCTCCAGCTCTTCACCTGAAAGGCACCCTTAGTGGGCAGATTCTCTTCTGGGATGGGAGCCACTGTCTTAGGGAGCCAACTTCCTAACTGGTAGCATGTGGATTCTCTCAGGTCCTGGGTTTACACAGAGGCCTTCAGAGCCATTAAAGAGGTTGAGACAGAGGCCAACGGCCCAGGCTCTTGACTTCCTGCCCCTACTTCAGCCCCAAATCTCCCACCTAATATATCATTTTTAGAAAGGGCCTCTCTACAGCTTTCACTGGGGAGAAAGGGGATCTGCTGCTAAAAATATGTTAGCAAATCACTGCTGTAAACAGTCTACATTGAAATTGGGATCTGATTCTACTGACACACCACGTACTTAAACTAGTTCGTTTTGATTTACTCGCTTGTTTGTATTAATTGGTATTGGGTAAGCCATTCTTAGACTGCAATGAAGACAGAAGAATCAGTTATAGTAATTCCATGTCTACATGGTTAATAATCATGGATCACACCTAATCCTAATAATAACTGGATCACACTTTCCTGCATCTCTGGTTGCTTCTTCCCACACTGACACTAGGCTTCATCATGTGACTCATCTTGGTAGCAAAATTGAACAAGCAGAAACTTGACATATACTTGAAAATCTGGGCCTGTCCCCTTGCTGCTCCTGGAACTCCAAGTCAGTATGTGAACAGGCCTGAGCTCACCTATGGCTGATGAAACACATGGCCCAGTCACACCCATTGCCCTGGCTCACAGCCAGCTCCCCTCCAGAAATAAAGCTAACCATTTCACAGGCTGACTGGAAACACTGAAAGAAGTCTAGCAAAGACCAGCAGGAAAACTGACCAGTTGAGTCCAACCCCAACTGCCAAACTGGTGTGTGTGTGTGTGTGTGTGTGTGTGTGTGTGTGTGTACACGTGCATATGCGAGTGTGGATTACAAAAATTTCAGGAGGAAGGGAATATGCTTAGTTTGAGAAAGTAAGTCCTTAACTCCAGCTCTTCTCCAGCTTATTTCCCTGAAAGGTGAAATTGAGGTAATTTGTCAAATCACTGATACAGCCTATAATAAGGCTATTATTAAAGTGCAGTCTACTACAACAAGAAATGGGCACCCCTTCTGAGGTTTTGGAGGAAAAATTCTTCCCAGGTCTCAGGACCAAGAAAAGCTATGCACCACCTAAGACAATGGGTGGTTTTGACCTCAGGTACCCTGTGATTCTCTGACACAACCTTGTGAAGAACCAAGTCAATCCATTGTCTGACTTTCCCATCTCCCCAGCAAGCACGGGAGCTCCAAGACACACACCTTGGCATCAGAACCACAGCTGCCGCTCCCCACACCACTCATTCTGCCCACTTCCTTTTGTATGCTATGCTTTCACGGAGCTGCCGCAAATCTTTACAGAATAAGTTGGAGAACAAACGAATCAGGACCACGTCATGATCCTTAGGAACAGTAAGGAAAGCAAGAGGAGGCCAGATTGTTGTTCCCAATAGAACCCACCACTGATATTTTCTATTTTGAAAACATCATTTTCATTTGAGACTCTTGGTCTCAAAACAATTTTTAACTAGAAACAAACAAAGCCAAGATGACTCCCATCTGAAGCATTCAAAATGTTCCCATGTTTCCTGAGGGGGGCCAAGAGTACGGCTTAATAGTGAGGCATTGTGAGTTGGACTTGTCTGGCATGTCTTAGCCATATGATCTTGAATGAGTCAACACTAAAGTCTCCACACTTCAGTTTCTTTGTCTGTGACATGGGGGTAATAATAGTGTCTATTTCATCCGGTTAACATGAGAGTAAAGAGAGACAGTATGTACACAGTTCTGGCCATTACTGCCATTGTTATTTATCACTACTAGTAATGCATTCCTTTCATCTTCTTCTACAGCCTCTTCAGAAATTCATCATCCTCATTAAGGGAACAGAGTGATATGAGACACAATCTAATGCCACAATTAAAAAGACACTATCAGCCAGGCGCAGTGGCTCACACTTGTAATCCCAGTACTTTGGGAGGTGGAGGTAAGAGGATTGCCTGAACCCAGGGGTTTGAGACCAGCCTGGACAACTTGGCAAGACCTAGTCTCTACAATAAATGAAAAAATTAGCTGGGTATGGTGGCACACACCTATAGTTCCAGCTACTTGGAAGGCTGTGGCAGAAGAACTGCCTGAGCCCAGCAAGTCAAGACTATGATAGCTGTGATTGTGCCATTGCACTCTAGCCTGGGTAACAGAGTAAGACCCCAACTCAAAACAATAACAAGAACAAGACCAAGAAGAGGAGGAAGAAGAAGACGCTGATGATGACTACACTGTCTGTGTGGCTGCTTCAGTTCATTATAAAATTTCATGCATTAATTGTTTACATATATAAACACACACCCCTCCCCATCCCAGATATCTGGTTTCATCCTGGAAGAGGGAAATACCTTTGCCTCGTTGCTTCTTTTCCTTCTGTTCACTCAGTTTATCCAGAGGTAGGTTTGTCATCTCAACTCCATACACAGTCCTCGCAAGCACAGCTGTCAGGGAGTCCATGATGTTGGCCCACTCATTTATGAGCTCCTCCCACTCCGTGAGGGAAGACAGCACACCAAGAAAGTCATCCCAGAGCTCTCGAGAAATGTACACACAGAGGTTTGCTCGGATCCAAGCCACGATGAGCGTCTATAACAACCAACCAACAAGAGAACCTGATCACCTTCATTTGGAAGCATAATTTTTAACAAACTATTTCAAATTACTATTAATAAAGTAGTTTTTAAAAAGTACAATTGGGTGTTATTTTTCTTTTAGTTTATCAAAATTCATTTGACCAATTGTGATCATTTGTGCTACGGGGAGACTAGGTATCATTATGAACCAAGTTACTGATTCCATGTTACTCTGGTGTCTGAGGCTGTTCCTGGCTGTAACTAGGGAGAGGACAGAGCCCTCTGGACAATAGCCATTCTGCCTCCTGAGACAGCTCCCTTCCTTCTCTCCATAGTGGCCACTGACCACCTCCTCCTCTACATGAAAACTTCCAACTCACCAGTTCCTCTCTGGTTTTTAGCAGACTTCACAGGAAACAGAACCCATTAAATGAGTCTCCCCCCAACCTCTGCCCACAGACCCACGCTCTTGCCTACATTCACCCAGCTTGTCCTCCACCTTGGAGTGAGCTGTCCTTCAAGAGGGGCTCTGGCTCTTCCACACTTGTTCCCTCAGGCTCTGGTCCCCTTTGTGGGGTCTCTGTGTCCGTAAGCCCCACCTTTCCCTTATTCCCACCTACCTACTTCCCACCTTCCTCTCCTTCAGCATTTAAATATGCTCCAATTCTTCCTCATCTTAAAAACAAACAAAAAATACTTCCCTTAAGCCCAGATTTCCCCCTCAAGCTACAGCCCTTTCTCTCTCCCTTCACAGTTGAACTTCTTGAAAGACTGTTCCACACTCATTCCATGTACCCTTCCTCATCTTCCAGGTCACTGACTGCTCTGACGTTGTCCCTTCCAATGCCCCTCCACCCTCTGCCCAGGTCTTGGTGCCATTTCCATGGCTCAAGTTATCCTCCGGATGCTGCCAACTTCTGAATCTCCATGTCCAGCCCAGACCTCTCTGCTGCTGGTTTCCTGACCTCTCTCCCCGTGGGCTAGACAGCCCCGCCTGTACGTCCCATGGGTACCATAACACAGGCACCCATAACACAGCATAACAGTAAAATGAATTTGAACAGGGAACTGTTGCTTGTTTCTGTAACAGTCGTTTCACTTATCTGGGTCCCCCACTGGTCTCATGGTCCACAGCACTGGTCACATGGACACCCCACAAGACAATCATGCTTATGTGCTGGATATCTCCTTACCTTGAAATTGCCCCATTCCTTGCCTCTCTGTCAAAATACCCCACATCCTTTAAAATTCAAGTCAAAATTCATCTCCCTGGAAGAAGTTCTCAATACAGCCAGTCCGTCTCAAATGAGCCACAAATGCTTCCCCAAGCTAATGAAAAGGCATTCTTCTATCCAAAGTCTGTGTCACTCCCCCAGTCTGTCATCAAAGATGAATGCACTTGTTTTTTGTTTTTTGTTTTTTTAATAATTAATCAGTATTTTTATTATAGTTTTGTGGGGTACAGTTAAGGGTTAGGTGTACAATTACGTTTCATTCA